ATACTTTTTTAACTTTCTAGAATTTATGTGAACCTACTGTATATGCATCCAGAGGCAAAAAGAAGAATGAAGCTTATTAATAGTGCTCATCTTTGCTAATAATTTTATCATTAGGTTTTTCCATAGCAAGTAACAATGCCAAACAGCTTCCAAATTCATTGCCTATTTTACATTCATAATAATAGAATTCCTGGGGCCATCAAGTGGCATGGTGGTTGAGGGAAAGTGACAAAGCAAGTCACCAAGTCTGGAACTTAAACTGCAGTAAGCCATGTGGGAGTCCAGTCCCCTCTTCTTCACTTTCCTCCTGGGGTCTTAGGCATGCACACATGCCTGGTATGATTTTTAAGTCACCGGGTCCAGGACCTGAACTGTGGTTGGCTGTGTGGGAATCCAGCAATGTAACAACTACACCATCTGCTAGTCTCTGAAATGAGGTAAGAATTATGGATCTTAATTTAAGTCCTTTGATGAGTTTCTCAGTAAGATCTGATTGAGAGTTATAAATTTATCAGGGATTATATAATTTAAAAAAATAATTATTTAATTTATTATGATGATCATTATTTTAATTTGCTATAAGGCATGTTCCCACCAGAGAGAGAGAGAGAGAGAATGAGAAAGTAAGCCACCAGGTCTGGGACTTGAACCATGATCAGCCATGTGGGAGTCCAGTGCCCTTAACTACCATGCCACCTGCTGATCCCATTAACTCATTTCAATTCCACCCAATTTGTTACATGCCCTGATTCTTACTATTTGTTTAACTAGTACAACACTCTTAACATAAATTTCCATATATAGTAAAGTAGCTCTCATTGTACCAACCCTTCTACAAAAAAAAAAAAAAAAAAATAAAAACAACCGGGGACCAAACCAGAGAATCAAAAAAAACAAGAGACTCTAAGAGCCCCTTTAGCAGGGGCTAAAGTGAAGGTGACATTTGAAAGAAGAACAAGTAGAATGTATGCCTTTTATTGCTTTTAGCCTAGAGCATGTTCTAGTCATTACCATGAGAACCAGTTAAAACTCTAGTGAAATTTTTAGTCTTTCTAACTTGAAGGATTACAGAATAGGTTTTCAGATAAATATAGTCACTGAAATTTGCAAAGTGAACCTCAGAAAAAATAATACCAAAGAAGAATATGTCAAATTCCATGTGAAACTGTTTCTTGCACCAGAAATATGTATGCTCACTGCAGACTATAAACGTACCAGCGAACAAGGAAGAACTAAAGTAAAATTTAAATTCCCATCCATCACACAAACACCAGAGTTTGGATTTATCTTTGTCAAGATAACTGCCCACTTACACAGAAATAAATTTCTTTGTAGAAACATAACAGAATTTTT